ACAAATAATAATAATAATAATAATAATAATAATAATAATAATAATAATAATAATAATAATAATAATAATAATAAAGAGTTTTTATTTTATGTTTATGTAATAGTTTTTTTTATTTTTTGTGTATAGTGTTTTAAATTTTTTTAGAACGGTGTTGGGTTGTGTTGACATTTGAAATGTATGGGCCTCTTCTTTTTGGGTCTAACCTCAAGCCTCTCACCCATCGGTTTCCCGAACCCAACTAACCGACCCCCTCTCACCGTCCCCCCCCACTCGGCCCACCCTCTTGGCCCATAACCTTCGGCCCAACCTTTCTTTCCTAAACCTTATCTCATTTCCCATTCGGCTCCCATTCCGCTCCCTCCAACTACCCAAGCCGATTCCCTGTTCTAGCACACCGAACCCACCCCCCCTTAAGCCTACCTCTAGCCGATCCTTATCTCCCTCTCTAAACCCCCCCACCGATCCCTTAACTCCTAAACCCACAAGCCGATTCACAACACAAGCCACAAACCGATTCCCCTTCGGCCTCTCTCATTCGGTTTGTTCCTCAAGCCGCTCCCACCTCTACGCAAGCCGAACACCCACACACCTAGCCCCCTACCTTCGGCTTCCTCTCCCTCAATCTTTTCCCACGAGCCGAACACCCCCCCTTCTACGCCGCTCCTCTCTTCGGCCCACACCCTTACGGCCCATCCCCTCTCTCTTCTAAACCCTAGACCTCCTCTCCCTCTTTATAAATGGTTCGGCCTCTCTCTTTTCTTCTCACTAAACCACACACCCCTMCCTCTCCTCCTAACCCTCTTCGGTCCCTCCCTCAACCGATCCTCATCGGTTTCTTCATTCACCCTCTTCCTCATAAGCCGCACCTATCCTAATCGTCCTCCSCTATTTCCCAAACCGATCGGCCTCACCTTCAGCCGATCTTAAACCGATCCTACCAACCATCAGCTCCCCTCTCACTCCCCGATCCCATACCTCGATTCCACACTCTTTCTTACACGCCGTACAAACACATAAGCCGAACCTATCTCCCGCCGTTTCAAATCGGCGCCTCCCCCC